TCTCTGGATGGCCCCCCCCTCTGGCGGCGCACCCTGCAGCGAGGGCCCGGCGGGCCCCGTGGGGTCCCGGCACGCGGCGTGCTCCAGGGCGGCAGCGGCGTCCGCGGCCGCCCGCGATGTCGACAGATGCTGGCCGAGGCTTCTGAATTGATCATTCCTTGATCATATGTTCGATTGCGCACAAAGACACCATCCAATGGATTGTCTCTGGGTCTCAGGCGATGGTGGCAGTGTACAAGTCACAACTGAGAGCCAGCGACTTTGTACACCGCGATCCTCCCTGAGGATACATACCAAGTTCGTCGGAGGGTGTCCGTGTACTCCAGATTTCGTAATAAAGGGAGGGGGGTCTCATTTCGGGGGGGGTCTCTTCCAGGCCATCTTGGAGGGCCTGGGGGGTCTGGGGACGATGTTTTGGAGGGTTCTCCCACGGGGGGGGGGTCTGAAATGGCTTGTCTTGGAGGGTCCAGACCCCCTCCCTCTTATTACGAAATCTGGAGTACCCAGGGGCCGATCGGGGGAGCGTAAGACTCGAGTGAGCCGGAACTCGGGTTCGCCGACGTTTTTCGGCGAGCGCGTCCTGGACTTTGACGGTCCGGCTGTCGTGGGATGTCTGCAGCGGGAGCTCGCGCCAAGCTTCAGATCGGGCTCGTCATTTTCATTGATGGCGCCGTCAGGCCAACCCGAGTCCCCCGTACCCGAGTCTTACGTCTCTCCGAACCGAGCAGCTGGACTCCAGGAAGAAACAACGGCACAGACATAAACTTGTGGCGCTCCGCGCGGATTTCTTGCATCCGCGCTGGGCTCCCCCCCCTCCCCGTCCCGCGGCGCCCCCCCCCCCCCCCCGCGGCGTCCGGCGCCGCTCTGCGCCGCCCCTGGAGCGCGGGACCGTGGAGCGCGGGACGCGCGCCAGGGTGGGGGGGGGGTGGCTTTTTTTTTTTTTTTTTTTTTTTACGCAGATCCAAGAAATCCGCGCGAAGCGCCAAAAGTTTATGTCAGTGCCTTTTTTCGTCCATAACCCAGGGATCGAACAGCTGTACAGTCAGCGTGCCGAAATGCAGGAGCAGTTCGAGTTCGGAAGCGGCGTGCCGTTCCTCAGGCCCTTACATGGTTTTGCCTTTTGCGCTCCTCATGCACCCATGCGCCCTTTAGGCCATAGACTGGAGCTTCGTTCCTCAGTCAGCGTTACTAATGGTAGTAGCTTGGTTGCACAGGTCTACCTCGTTCCTCCTCCCCTCTGGCTAGTCTTCCCATTGCGTTCCACCTTTCTAGGAAGGGAGGATGAGCAACGAGCTGGACCTGTATACAGTAAAGCCGCTGAAATAAGGAACGCTTTGAGCTCAGGAGGGGCTCGGGTTTTCGGGCCGTTCCTTAGGTCTAGGTCGGGAAACCAGTTTGTGATTTGGCGTTCCTGATGGTAGCACGATGACTGTAGTTGTCGCTCGTCGCCCTTTCCGAAATGGTACTCCAGATTTCGTAATAAAAGGGAGGGGGTCTGGACCCTCCAAGACAAGCCATTTCAGACCTCCCCCGTGGGAGAACCCTCCAAAACCTCGTCCCCAGACCCCCCAGGCCCTCCAAGATAGCCTGGAAGAGCCCCCCCCCGAAATGAGACCCCCCTCCCTCTGTCCCGCCTGCCTCGGCACCCTCCGGCTCGCCCTGTCAGCTCTGCTGCGTCCGACCGCAGACTTGGACGACCGAGAGCAGGGCCGGGAGGGGCGGGGTGAAAGATGAGGCCGGCGGTCGTGGCGGAGGTTTCCCGAGCAGCCAGATGGAGATCAGTGGCATCTCCAGCGGGGGCGGGGTCGCATCTGGCCCTGGCGGAGGGGACCAGGGCGGAGGGGGTGCGCAGGAGGCCCCCGCCAGACAGACGGGACGGGAAGGGCGAGGATCGGGAGGGACAAAAAACACACAGACACAAATCACTGTCAATCCCCTGGAGATACGGGAAGACACGGGAAGCGGGGGCGAAGACGAACATCTAAAACATAGGGAACCATACATTGGGGATCCTGGGATTTCTTTCAGTTTCCCTGATTGCCCCTGGGCCCCGTCAGAGGAGGGACGGCGAGAACGAGGAGGAGCAGCAGGATGGACGAGGATCAGGCTGAACCCAGGCCGGGCGAGGCAGCGGGCCCCGCTCATCCCCGCGGCCCCTCCCCTCCGTTCGGCGGCGAGCGAGGGGTGGAAAATCGGCAGGAAAAGGCCTTCTCAGAAGGCGACGGGGCTTCTCAGAGGCCCTCGCGCCTGCATGAGAAGTTCTTGCCTATCTCCGGGGAAGGCCCAGAAAGCTTCCCAGCAGGCCGGGGGACTTCCGAGCCTTCTGAGAAGGCCCGCCCCATCTCACTTCCCCCCCTCCGGCGCCGCCGATGACTGGAACCTCCCAGGATTGGCAGCCGAAAGGCCTTGCAAAGCCTCTGGCATTCATTCGGGCCCGTCCCTCTACAGAAGGAATACTCAAAAATAGTTTAGAAGATAGTATTGGGACCGTTTCTTCAGTAAGTTTGACCATTTGGGAGTAGTTGTTTGAGAATGCTTTCTTGTTCGTTCAGAATCCCCCTGTAGGGGGACACTTTTTGATCCGCGGGTCGAGGGCGCACCTCTTCCAGTCGAAGCTAAGCGGGCCGCGCGAAGCCTGAATTAGGCAAAGATCTATGCCACTTAGGTGGGGTCCGAGTAGATGGGGTCGGAGGATCGCGCCGCATCGCCGATGCATCGCTGATGCGGCTCGATGTGGAGCCCGTGTTTCCCCACGCCGACGTCGCCGATGCATCGCCGACGTCACCGATGCATTGCCGATGCATCGGCGATACATCGGCGATGCATTGACAATGCGGCGCGATCCTTCGACCCCATCTACTCGGACCCCATCTAGGAGGCCTCTAAAAGAAGAGGAGGGAGGAAGCGGCGGAGCCCCAGCCCTGTAGGGGGACACGCCCGACTTAAGACCGGCAGCCTCAAAAGCGCAAGCCAGGCGCGCGTTCCCCGGGCACCGCCGCTCGCCGCGCCACGCGAGGCCCTGGGGGAACGCGAGGGGCACCAGTGCTGCCGCCTCGCCTCGGGCCCTCCTCCACCGCCCTCCTCCTCCTCCTCCTCCTCCTCCCTCCTCCTTCTTCCTCCTCCTCCCTACTCCTCCTCCCTCCTCCTTCCTCCTCCTCCCTACTCCTCCCTCTCCTTTCTCCTCCTCCTCCCTTCCTCCTCCTCCCTCCTCCTCCTCCTCCCCCGCCTCCTCCTTCTTCCTCCTCCCTCCTCCTCCTTCTCTTCTCCCTCCTCCCTCCTCCTCATCCTCCTCCCTCCTCTCCTCCTCCTCCTCCTCCTCCTCCTCCTCCTCCTCCTCCTCGTCCTCCTCCTCCTCCTCGCGTTCTGGCCGTACTTTCCGAGGCGAGTCCAGCGGTGGCGACGCGGGCCTCCCTGACGCAGGAGCCTTCTCGGAAGTTTCCCCCCGAAGGCGCGGAACCCTTCTGAGACGGGGAGCGTTCTCTTATCCGGCGTTTCGACACTGGGCGGAGGGGGGTGGGGTGGAGTCGGGAGGAGGGGTCTGGCTCCGCCCCAGACCTGTGCTGAATGCGACTGCTTGCAGCGGTGCGTCCCCTGGGGGAGACTCCACCTGCTTGGAGCAGGCGCCCAAGGGGGTTTGGGGGAGGGGGCCCGAGGGCCCGAGCCCGATCTGCAAGCCAATGGATCAGAACACAATCGCGAGGCCAGCTGCCAGTTGGACGCCGCCAGGCTTTTCGGGGCCGTTAGGCTGCGCAAGTCCTGGGAGGGGCAACTCATCGGCGGCGAGCGAGGGGGGCAGTGAGAAGGGTCGGGCCTTCTCAGAAGGCTCGAGGGCTTCTGAGAAGTCGCGCCGCCTTTGAGAAGGTCTTCTCCTTCTCATTTCCTCGCCTCGCTCACCGCCGAATTCAGGGTAGGCGCTGGTCATTATATCTGTGGTCGACTGCCGGCCTGATCCGGCCCAATCCCGATCAATTTTGGCTAATCCCGAGCAGTCCGGCAGAATCTGGTTTCATGGACTCTTAGTTTGGCTTAATCGCGTGCATCGTTTTGGCGAAGACCTCCCAGAAATTGGTTCCTAATGGTCTTGCCGTTCCCAGGAGCTCTCGCGCACGACCATCTGGGAGACATGAGAGGTCGGCTCGATGTTCTCCAAGACATGGGCTCTTGGGCCTTCTCGACCCCCTCCAGCGGATATTGTCTTTAACGGGATGCCGAATTCTCTGTGTGTATGTGTTTCTTCTTGGGCTTAGAAGTTGGCGAAAGGCACCACGGAATAACAACCACGGCGTCGGAGTTGTGATGCTCACAGCCCCACCGGATCCGCCTCTGCCGCTCGAAGAAGAAAGCTACGAAGAAGCACGAATGTTCTAAGGATTGAGGAGCTAGGATGAGAAGCAGCGAGCATTCGGAGGAGGCGCTAGGAGGAAAGGAGGAGGATCGGGAGGACATGTTGGACCTTCTGAGCAAGGGGGGTCCGCGCGGATTTCTTGGATCTGCGCTGGACAGGGCAGGGGGGGAGGGGTCCAGCCCCGATGCAGGAGATGCGCGCCGACTCTCACAACGTTAGGCTCCCCACCTGACAGGCTGGGGTTGTTTGGCGTAACGAGAGCGCCCGACCTGTCCCGCATGCCCTGCATACTGCCGCCGACAGGCTTCCTTGGAGCTCCCGCGTCGCCTCCTCGGGTGGAGAGCGCTCGCAGCACGTGCGGTGTGCTGCTTTTCCTGTCCGCGGACGGCCTGCGTGCACCGCACCGCGTCGGCTTCTCCCGAGGCGTCGTCGATCATCGATCCCGGAATGCTACGGTTCCTATTTGTGCGGCCTCCTGAGCCAACAAGGTAGCTATGCAACGTACCAGGTGGGAGAGCGGGGGCTGACGGGAGACCAAACATGGTACGACGCATCATCAGTTCCGTTCTGGTGTGGGTTCCTAACGAGTGCCCTACTTAAGTCGTAAACGGCCAAACCAATCAGTTCCGTTCTCGTGTTCTGGTCGTCCGCGCAGGAGGCGCGCGAGAGGGCGAAGGATGTGGAGATGCAGAGGCAGCAGTTCTTGGCCGCCTGGATGCAGCAGAGGAGGCAGCAGGACCCCCCCCCTCCGCGCCGCGGTCCTCCTCTCTCCTCCTCCTCCTCCTCCTCCTCCTCGTCCTCTCCTCCTCCTCCTCCACCTACTCTCCTCCTCCTCCTCCTCCTCCTCCTCCTCATCCTCCTCTCCTCCTCCTCCTCCTCCTCCGCCTCCTCCTCCTCTCCTCCTCCTCCTCCTCCTCCTCCTGCGCACTCCCTGAGAGACCATGAGTCTGTGGTGTCCACAACAGTGCTACATGCATACAGAGACAAGGCAAAAGAGGGGCAAAGGAGAGGAAGGCGCGTGGGGTGCCTCCTCGCCGCCGCCGGCGGCGCTCCCGACTAACCCACATAGGGGTCCATAGGCATGTACAGGGGAGCGCGGCCAGACTCGGGCGGTGTGAACTGGCCGATCGGACACGTAGGGGCCGAACGCGCAGCAAGATCACACAGGCAGTCAGCAACAACACGACACATGGCGGACGGCCACTGGACGGAGGAGGACTGAAACCCGTCCAGGCAGTCGAAGCCTGCCTTTAAGTTATCACTGAGAAAGAGGGACCTAGACGAAACGATCCTCATTGGCGTCGTGCTTCTGGGCATGCTGAGGACGAAATCACACACCTCTGAGAAGCCAAGGGTCCAAGCGAGCTCGGGCAACTCCCAGGGGGACGGAAGGTGCGGGGTGACCTGCTGATTCATGTGCACCAAAATGCATGGGATCTGCATTGCGCGAGCGACGACAGAAACCAGAATCGCAAAGCGCAGGTGGCAATTGTCATCCTGCACGCGCGCCCAATCTTTAGGAGCGAGGTCGGGGGATCCCCATGGGTGATCAACAGCTCGAAAGGGCCTAGCACGGTCACGCCTCTCGCACCACGTCTCCACACATGGGGCTGCAATTACACCGAGCACGGTCCTGGACGACAACAAATGCAAAATCTGATCACGCTGCTTACTAGTGGCGACATCCTCCTGAGTAATCTGTAGTACACACAATGACAAGCCATGCCTGGCAAAGAACTCCTCGCACCACCATTGTACATCATGCAAAGTGCGCGCAGACGAGGAAACATGCAGAATGTATGCCGTGTGCACAACACGAGGTGCGGCAGGTGCGGGGGGAGGGAGATGTGCCACGTTCACCTCCAGAGGCACGGGACGGCACCCAACACGGCACACGGCACCAGGGAGGCCCAGGGAGACGGCGGCACCACACAGACCAGGACCAGGGAAACGTGACGGCGGGGCAGTGGCCTTCTCCTCATAATATCCCTGCCTGCGCAACACTCGGGAGACTTCGGCATCATTCAACCTCTCTTGTGTAACTTGATCAGGGGGCATAGCTGGGAGAACTGCGAGCAAGTTGGCCAGGCACGACTGTCTACCGTGCCTGAGATGTTTCAAGAGCCTCAGCCTAGTGTGAAAGTTCAAGCAGCAAGATTGACATTGTGTGCCTGATGCAAGCCGGCCTGCTGGGTCTAGCTCGGGATGTGCCTTTGTACGATGTGAGGCCCAAGATGCACGGGTATTCAGCACCGCGTCGCAGTCTTGGCACGGATACACAAGCAGGGGAGGAGGAGGCACGAGAGAAGGAGGACACTCCGTACCAAGACTGATCGCGGTGTCACGAAGTGCGTCGTGCCATTCGAGTAGTCGCATCTGGTCAATACTGCATGCCTGTGCAGCACGTTCGGCCTGCCTGCAAAGACGCTTCCAAAAACGAATGCCCTTCGTGCGAATGAGATGCACCCACCACGAGGGAGGACCACAGGGAAGCAACTCACGTGGCAACTGCACATGCATACTCAACCATTCAAGGTCCTGGCAGACCAGGCTGGTCCATGAGGAACTGACGACCGCCGCCTCGTCTAGAAGCGATAAGAGGGCAGCGGGCGCCGCCTGGAGTAGCCGAGGAATGAGCCTCCTCCTCCTCCTCCTCCTCCTCGTCCTCGTCCATGTCCTGCCCCTCCTCATCCTCCTCCTCCTCCTCCTCCACCTCCTGCTCCTCCCTCCTCCTCCTCCTCCTTCTCCCCCTCGTTCCTCCTCCTCCTCCTTCTACTTCTTCTCCTCCTCCTCCTCCTCCTCTTCCTCCTCCTTCTCCCCCGTCGGCGTCGAGGCCATACGATGGTTTTTGTCTGATGCGGTACAGCGTTCATTGGTTCAGGTGCTATTTGATCGCCTCGCTCATTTCGCCAACCCAGGCTATTCCGTTGTGGGCGTTTGCCCGCGTGTTCGTTGCTCTTGCGGCGCTGATGGGTGGTGGCAGTTTCCTGGGAGTGTTGCGTGAGCTGTCATGGGCGTCTCGGGACAGGGGGCTCGAAGTGGCTGTTTGTGTGCCCCGTCCTGGGCCTCTTTTGGACTCCCCTTTGACCCCCTTTTTGGTGTGACCCTCTTGGGCCTGCGTGCTCGCGGGGGCATTTTTGGAGCCCGGGTGTTGTAGGCTGTCACAGATGGGGTCCTGAGGGATGGGGGCCTCAGGATATGAAGGGATCCAAGGGTGGATTTGCATTGTCTGAGGCACCTCGCCGTCAGGCCCCCATCCCTCAGGTTATGATGTTCCAACCTTTTTTAGCCTTGACCACCAGAAAAAATTTCGAGCACCAAGAAAGTAACGAGACTTGGGGGTTCTCATGTGAAGGCGATACTTCTTCGACACTGCTTCGACACTCTCCTGGGTGCTCGAACTTCTTCACGGAAGGTGGTCCTTCAGCACGATGGGAACACCATGACCCTCAGGACCCATCCCTTGAACCACCAAGCTAGATAATGCCTGGACTGAGAAGTGCACGGGCTGGGGAGCAGCACCCGCGGCCCCGCGGCCTGGGCTCCTCGCCAGCGGCCCCGTGGACCGCACCGGGCGCGGCGCCTCGCGGAGGGAAGGCCCGCGACGCGGGCCTCTGAGCCTCTCGTCGGTTTCCTAGAGTTCGCTGCGGGGAGGGGAGGCTTGCGGCGACGAGGACGCAGTCTACTGGACGCTCGTTTCGTCGTTTCGCCGAGTTTCCCCTGCCCCAGGGTGTGTCTCGGCGGCCGCGCCTCGCCGAGAGCGTCCCGGAGGAGCTCGGACCTTCCCGACCAGCCGCCAGAGACCCGAGCAATGGCCCGAGAGCCGGGCGCCGAGGATTGGTGGGGTCGGGCGGGCGGTATTTGGGGGGTGGCCTGCATGGGGGACCCTGCCGGGGCCCTGTTGGGGGCCCCTGCAGGGCCCCTGCTGGCTCTGCAAAAAGGGGCCCAAGAGGGATCCTTTTGGAGCCACTCTTCTTCGCCCCCCCCATGCAGGTCACCCCCCCATTGCCACCCGCACGAGGGGGGGGACAGAACCCCCAACAGTGTCGGGGGTCGTTTTCTCTAAACCACGTTTTATTAAAGGGAGGTCTGTCCATCCCCGAGTCACCCCCCATTGCCACCCGCACGATGCGGGGGGGGATAGGCGCAGGGGGGGGGGACTCTCCGACCCCCAATCGCAAACCGGTCGCGGAGAAGCGTCCGAGGGCACCCAGCCATGGTCATCGACGACCTCGGTAGGGCGGTGCACCCGCCCGGCGGAGTCCCAGGCCGCTGAGCGCAGCTGTGCTCAAGTCGGGCGTGTCCCCCTACAGGAGGACCATTTAAGAGCAGTCAACAAACATGTCTGGTGCTATTTGTCCTGCTTTTCTGTCAATGTTGGTTTTCCTTCACGTTTGCCTCCGCTGTTCTCCCAACATCCGCCTGTAAGGTCGGGCCGGACGAAAGGGGGGGATTGGGAAAGGGGGGGTTGCGAAATTTGTTGCATGCAGCTGGTTTCGGCCCCACCGAGGGGCCCATTCCTCGATAGATAGCCGCCTCCGGCGCCGGGAGGCGCCGCCGGGAAAATCAGCTACGTGAGCTGGTTCTCAACCCCCCCTTTGCTATCCCCCCCTTTCGCCCGACCCGATAAGGAAACTTGCCCGACAAAAAGCTACGCGCCCACGCCGACGAGACAGAGGCGGAGACAGAGGACCACGCGCCGCCAGCCGTTGCTGCTGCCTCCCCAGCGGAGGCCGAGCAGCGGTCCGCTCGCGGCCTTCAATGAGTCGACGGCCCCTCGCGGGCCACCCCAACACTCCTTGCCTTTGGTCGGGCCTGTCCCCCTACAGGGGGATTTTGGACGACAAATAAAACATATTCGAAACAAATTCAAAAGATGCCCAACAATACTAAATACATATGAATATTTTTGAATATTCCCCCTGTAGAGGGACAGGCCCGACTTAATCCTTGCCGGGGAACCATCGTGCACGCAACCTGCCTACACGTCATTGACATTGAGCTTGCGCCCGCCATGGCACGAGCTCCTGAGGACTACTGCTGGACCACTACTGCGATGCATCCCACCTCCCTTCTCCCCGCTCCAGTCTCAGTCCTTCCGAGCGAGGTCGCGCGACACAAATCTGGGCTTGTGTCTTGATGGTGGTGCCGCCCTAGAGTATATCCGATTGCCCACGCCGCTCAAGCGAGCGCGGATTCGCCATCGGGGGCACGTCGCCGATCTATCGGCGATGCGTCGCCGGTTCCAGGTCGACATGTTCTCCTTGTGCTGGTCCGCCTGCAACGATCCCCCCACCACCACAGGGCAGCTGTCCTTTACATCTTCGCGTCGTGGAAATTACGCTGCCGAGGAACCCCACATACTTATATTATGGCTGGAGTGATGATAGCTGAAGTGAAGCATGTAAGAATGATGTTGGTGGCCGTTGCCACCCCCTGCGCACCCCCTGTTTTGTCCAGAAAGTGCCACGCCTGCTATGCCCTGGACGACCGTCGTGCATAGCGGCCGCGGTGAGGGACCTCTCCCTGCGCACCCCCTATGGTGTCGAGAAAGTGCCACACCTGCTATGCCCTGGACGACCGTCGTGCATAGCGGCCGCGGTGAGGGACCAACCCCTGCGCACCCCCTATGGTGTCGAGAAAGTGCCACACCTGCTATGCCCTGGACGACCGTCTCGAATAGCGGCCGCGCTCGGGGACCACCCCCTGCGCACCCCCTATGGCATCGAGAAAGTGCCACGCCTACTATGCCCTGGACGACCGTCTCGGATAGCGGCCGCGCTCAGGGACCACCCCCTGCGCACCCCCTATGGAATCGAGAAAGTGCCACGCCTACTATGCCCTGGACGACCGTCTCGGATAGCGGCCGCGCTCAGGGACCACCCCCTGCGCACCCCCCATGGTGTCGAGAAACTGCCACGCCTGCTATGCCCTGGACGACCGTCTCGGATAGCGGCCGCGCTCAGGGACCACCCCCTGCGCACCCCCTAAGTGTCGAGAAAGTGCCACGCCTGCTCTGCCCTGGACGACCATAACGGATAGGGGGACCACCCCGTGCGCACCCCCTATGGTATCGAGAAACTGCCACGCCTGCTACGGCCTGGACGACCGGCGCGGATAGGGGGACCACCCCGTGCGCACCTCTATGGTGTCGAGAAAGTGCCACGCCTGCTACGGCCTGGACGACCAGCGCGGATAGGGGGACCACCCCGTGCGCACCCCCTATGGTGTCGAGAAACTGCCACGCCTGCTACGGCCTGGACGACCAGCGCGGATAGGGGGACCACCCCGCGTGCACCCCCTATGGTGTCGAGAAAGTGCCACGCCTGCTACGGCCTGGACGACCGGCGCGGATAGGGGGACCACCCCGTGCGCACCCCCTATGGTGTCGAGAAACTGCCACGCCTGCTACGGCCTGGACGACCGACGCGGATAGGGGGACCACCCCGTGCGCACCCCCTATGGTATCGAGAAAGTGCCACGCCTGCTACGGCCTGGACGACCGGCGCGGATAGGGGGACCACCCCGTGCGCACCCCCTATGGTGTCGAGAAAGTGCCACGCCTGCTACGGCCTGGACGACCGGCGCGGATAGGGGGACAACCCCGTGCGCACCCACTACGGCGTCGAGAAACTGCCACGCCTGCTACGGCCTGGACGACCGGCGCGGATAGGGGGACCACCCCGTGCGCAACCCCTATGGTATCGAGAAACTGCCACGCCTGCTACGGCCTGGACGACAGGCGCGGATAGGGGGACCACCCCGTGCGCAACCCCTATGGTGTCGAGAAACTGCCACGCCTGCTACGGCTGGATCGACCGGCGCGGATAGGGGGACCCACCCCATGCGCTTCCCTTTATGGTGTCGAGAAGCTGCCAAGCCTGCCACGGCCTGGACGACAGGCGCGGATAGGGGACCACCCCGTGCGCCACCCACTCCGGACGGTCGAGAAATGCCACGCCGCTACGGCCTGGACGAAAGGCGCGGAGGGGGCCACCCCCTTGCGCACCCCCTTACGGCGTCGAGAAAGCTGCACGCTGTGCTACGGGCCTGGACGACGGCGCGGATAGGGGACCCAACCGTGCGGCACCCACTATGGTGTCGAGAAAGTGCCACGCCTGCTACGGCCTGGACGACCGGCGCGGATAGGGGGACCACCCCGTGCGCACCCACTACGGCGTCGAGAAACTGCCACGCCTGCTACGGCCTGGACGACCCGCGCGGATAGGGGGACCACCCAGTGCGCCGTGCGCACCCATTACGGCGTCGAGAAACTGCCACGCCTGCTACGGCCTGGACGACAGCGCGGATAGGGGGACCACCCCCTGCGCACCCCCTATGGTGTCGAGAAATTGCCACGCCTGCTACGGCCTGGACGACCGGCGCGGATAGGGGGACCACCCCGTGCGCACCCCCTTTGGTGTCGAGAAACTGCCACGCCTGCTGCGGCCTGGACGACCGGCGCGGATAGGGGGACCACCCCGTGCGCACCCACTATGGCGTCGAGAAACTGCCACGCCTGCTACGGCCTGGACGACCGGCGCGGATAGGGGGACCACCCCCTGCGCACCCCCTATGGTATCGAGAAAGCGCCACGCCTGCTACGGCCTGGACGACCGAGCTGAGCTGTGCTGTGCTGAGCTGAGCTGAGCTGTGCTGAGCTGTGCTGAGCAGTGCTGTGTTGTGCTGTGCTGTACTGTGCTGTGCTGTGCTGTGCTGAGCTGTGCTGTGCTGTGCTGAGCTGAGCTGAGCTGAGCTGTGCTGAGCTATGCTGAGCAGTGTTGTGCTGTGCTGTGCTGTGCTGAGCTGAGCTGAGCTGTGCTGAGCTGAGCTGAGCTGAGCTGTGCTGAGCTATGCTGAGCAGTGCTGTGCTGTGCTGTGCTGTGCGAGAAGGAGAAGGGGAGGGGGGAGGTGTGAGACGCGGGTGCGGCGCGGCAGGGAAGAAAACCAGAACCCCACGAAACATGTGGGGAAAAACATGAACGCGACTGGAGGTCTTAAGCCGTTGTCGGCCTGGGAGCCCTCTCCGTACAACTCTAGGCCTTCTAGATGGGGTCCGAGTAGATGGGGTCGGAGGGTCGCGCGGCTTTGCCGATGCATCGGCGATGCAGCTCGATGTGGTGCCCGATATTCTGTACGGTGGCGTCGCCGATACATCGCCGACGAATCGGCGATGCATCGCCGCGATGAGGCGCTATCCTCAGACCCCATCTATATCGATCCCATCTAGGAGGCCTTTAACAACTTGTCTATCAAGTCGCAGCGCCGTTCCAGCACAGGCCTCTACCCTTCTGCTGGACTGGGGGTGTACACCTTCATGCTTGCGCGCTGGAGTGTTTGCATGCGCCGCGTTTTCGTTACGATGATCTTTTGAATTCGCGTGTTAGCGTGTTCGCGATTTTTTGTAAGCACGGATATCAGGATGCATTTCGTGGGAGGTTCAATTCAGCATCAGCGCCGGTACATCCGTGGGCGACAACCCGCCTAATCCGGCACAGTCTTGCTTAGTGCCGCTCAAGTCCGCCCGCGCCGTCTCAATCTGGGTTGAGTTTGTGCTAATCGGGGTCCGTGGCCCTGAATGTAGCTTATCCGATCTTGAGCGTTCTTTACAACGACCTCCCATAATCTTGGTTCTCAACTCCTAGGCATTTCAGAAAAGGGAGGAATTCGTGGATACACATCCAGGGGGCTATTCGGACGCACTCGTATCGATGATGGATACCCCCTGTCGTGTAATTCCGAGTTCGGCCCTGAATTGTTGGTCCGTTCGAAACCCCACGACGCCAGGGATTTGGGTCGCCGAGACCCCGGTTGTTCAAGGTTTGTCCCGTGCATTCTTCCGTCTGGCTCATCTTTTTTTTTTTTTTCTTAATGTTCCATCTTCTTGCAGATCCCTCCAGGCAGTTTCAGCTTGGGACCGCAACGCGTCGACGTCGTCGTCATCGTCATCACCGTTATCATCGTCGTCGTCGTCGTCCTCATCATCGTCATCGTCATCGTCATCGTCATCACCATCACTAGTGACATCATTCGCATCATCATCAATCCCCGCAGCGCCCTCGGACCAGATCCGGCTTTAAAGCATCACCACCATAGCAACGAATCTCATCATCATCAGCAGCATCATCAGCATCATCATCATCATAGCGACCCATGCCTCCTGCAGTTCTGTGGCATCGTGGCCCTGGGAAGGGCCTTGTGTCGTATCGCGTGTCCTCGCCAATCAAGTCCGACTGTACACTTTGACAGTCCACTTGACAGTCCCTCCCCCCCAGCGGGCGCAGCGCGCAGGACGAGTGCAGGTCCGCGAACATCGCGGCAGCGCGCTCCAAGCGGGTCGCCCAGATGAAAGAAGCGGAGCGGCCGTTGCCCGGCGCGGCGCGCGCGCGGGCGGGCGGGCGGAGGAGGAGGAGAATCACTGACACCCTCGCGTCGTGACACGAACTTGCCTCGAGCTTATCTCGGAGAGGAATCATCAAGAGGAAAAATCAAGGGAGGAATAACTTCCCGGACCCGATAATTGGCGTGTACTAATCGGCCGTGGGTGTTTATGAAACAGCCCTGCCCTGTCCGGTTCCTTCTTCCCAAACGGCCTCGCCTGTCGGCGTGACACGAACCTGCCTCGAGCTTCTCTCGAAGAGGAGGTACGCGGCATAGACAGAAACTTTTGGCGCTCGGCGCGGACTTCTTGGATCCGCGCTGGGCCCCCCTGGCGGCGCTCCGGCGCCGCCCCTGGCGCGCTCCGCGCGACGGGGAGGGGGGTCGCGAGAGGCTTCCAGAATACCTCCCCAGAGGCCCTCCTCCTCCTCCTCCTCCTCCTCCTCCTCCTCCTCCTCCTCCTCCTCCCCCCCTCCTTACTCTTCCTCCCTCCTTACTCCGCGCGGATTCAAGAGACCCGCGCGGAGCGCCAAAAGTTTCTATTCCATGCCGTTGTTCTTTTCCATGATCCCTCTCCCTACGACTGACAAGCCAAAAGGCGATACCAGTCGTGGAGATGCGCCCTCAGAAGCTGAGGGGATCCCTGAGATCGGCATCGAGATGAGGCGGTGCCAGTCGTGGGGATGGGGATGTCTGCTGCAGGCTGGTAAGACACAGCAGGGCACGACTGTTCTTGGTGCTGCTTGCTTTTCTGCCGCCCCCTCCCTGTTCGGCCTCCCCGGGGCCTCCCGCAGGCAGGTCGTCGGCCGCCTGCGTTGACAGCAGACGGCTCCGGCCGAGCCGGCCCCCCGGGGGGAGGGGGTCCAGACCTCCTTTGGGGAGTTACGGCGTGAACAAAAATCTGGACGCCCGACATGGGTACCGAAAGAATGGGTACGATGCCCAACAGCAGTTCTTGTCCATTTTGAACAGGACTCGCTGTCCGCGCCGCCGCGGCCTGTGTCCATTCGACACAGGGGGCCGCCCGCCCAACAGCGGCCGCTGTTGCTTCGGGACAACAACTGTGGTTGGGCATGTTGCCCATTCTTTCGGTACCCATTTCGGTCGGGCCGGACGAAAGGGGGGGATTGGGAAAGGGGGGGTTACGAAATTTGCTGCATTCAGCTGATTTCGGCCCCACCGAGGGGCCCATTCCTCGATACATAGCCGCCTCCGGCGCCGGGAGGCGCCGGGAAAATTAGCTACGTGAGCTGATTCTCAAACCCCCCTTTGCTATCCCCCCCTTTCGCCCGACCCGATTCGGGTGTCCAAAAAAAAAATCCACGACGGCGGCGCCGTCGTCGCGGCGGCCCCCCGTTTTTTGCGCGGGCGCGCGGGCGGTGGAGGAGGAGCCCCGACCTCCCTCGAAGAAGATGCAGGCCCAGACGTGCGACGTCCTCCGTTTTTCAGTGCGGCGCCCCCAGAGGTCCCGACCCTTACGGTAGGTTTGCGTCGTGTCGACCAGCGGCGACCCCAGCGCGGACGTTCAAGGTTGAACGCCGCCGGCGACCCAGAATCGATCGATGTTGAACGATCGGACGTTGCGGCAGCGGCCGATCGTTCAAGGTTGAACGATCCCTGCGGTGTCAAAAACCAACGCCGGGGTCGACACGACGCGAACCTGCCGTACCCCGGGCCAGTTTTTCATCTTGGGCAGTTTTTTCTCGCTCCCGAGGCCCGGCGAGGGCTCCCAGCGGCCGAAATCTATCAAAAACCTTCCGTCCTGATTGTCTCACGACGCGATCATGTCTGGGGAAGGAACTGCACGAACCAGTTGTTTCGGAGCTCCGCTCGGGTTTTTGGGGGATCTCCGTGCTACGGAGCCCCCATCGCGGCGCCTCCAGCCCAACCGCCCCTTGGAGCGCTTTGCGAGGTCCGCGCGGATCTCCACCAACATGGTTGTGTATGCTGAAGTCCGCCATGTCCTCCCACAGGCGGGCTTTGGAAGAACATTCCGCAATACTGTAAACTGTTCAAACACGATCAAAACTAATCGAAACAAAAACGTCACCTGTTTTTCCTATTCTGCAATATTCCTCCTGTAGAGGGACATGCCCCACTCGAGGGTACTTATGCAGTGTTTCCTTCAGCAGCGTCTTCGCGTTGTGGAACAGCCAATCACTTCTACATTGTATGGTGTTTCGAAAGAACTGCTCGGGACGAAAACGTGTCCCCTGGAGGGAGGTCCAGGTCTCTGGGGAGGCACGTTGTGAACAAAAGCACGACGTCGGATGTTCAGGAGAGGGAGGAGGTGAGCAGGTACAGTCGGGTCGTTGAATAAGGAACCCTTTTCGTTCGGGAGGGGCTCAGCGATCTTTGATTGGCATATCATGTTTCTTGGATGTGCCTAAGGCATTGTATGGAAAACATGAGTTTAGCTTATCAGCAAACGGACCCTCGTTCCTCATTAAGTTTTCTCCTTGTGACCGCGTTCCGACTGTAGGAGTATACAGAGAGAGGAGAAGGGGAAATACAAGGGAGGAAGAGGATGAGGTTTGAATGTTGCTTCTGTCGCCCTCGTTACCTGAAGGCCCATCTCGGCTCGGGCCCCAAGGCCATCAGAAATTGGTTTGGGATGCAAGCTGGCCATGATGGACTCAGGGATCCAGGGATATGCTTCGAGCGGCTTCTGGTCGGTACGAGGCCGAGGAGGAGAAGCACGGGGGGACCGGAGTAATCCCAAGATGCATCCACAATGTTGCAGCACACCCTCCCGTCCCAATTCCGTTCTTTGCAAGCAGACGGCAAGCCAGGGCTTTTACCACATCCGCCTTGCGAGACCGAAGCGACTGCGGGATGTCTCGACCCGCGGCTGCAGCTTGCTCTTGGGTGTGCCACTGTCCCGGCTGATCAAGGTCCCCGGCTACGGGGCCCAAGACGCTGTCGGGGCTCAAGCGACGGGGGTCAATGCAAACGGGGGTCAGCCAGAGCGCTGGGTTTTGCAGGATCTAGCGGGGACAGGATCCTGCAGGATCTTGCAGGATCCTGCAAGGCCTGACTGACCCGGGTTTGCACTGGCCCGGGTGAGTAGATCCCCGACGTTGTTGTGCAGTTCGCATGGGGGTCCAGGGTCAAGAATTCAGACGAGAAAGAGATACCCATACCGCGATACCCTGCCCTCGTCGCCACTGTTGGAGTCTCTTGGAACCTTTGGTCAGAGTGCACTCCTTGGAAGGTCTGGCGTGGTACCTTTATGTTCTTCGTGCATTGGCTCTCTGCCCTGGCACGCTCTTCGTTGTGGACATCTCATCGGGCCTGGGACGTTTGGAAGGCTCTTGGTCCACGCTCTTGTGGCCTAGCGCCTTGCAAGGCCAATCTCCAATCTTTCAAACCTGAGGATGCAACTCCTGGGAGGGCAAAGTCATCAGCAGCGCTGGTATATCAGTGGTCAAAGGCCGACCCAACCCGGCCAGATCCCATTTAATTTTGCCAGGCATGTTTTTATCCGGGCGAATGTTGAGCTTAATCTGGGCTAGTCCAGCTCGATGGCCCCTTAGTCGGGCCCAGTAGCCCTGAACCGATTTCACGAAGACCTCCCAGAAATTACCCCCTGACCTTGAGCCAGCCACGCCTTGCCTACAAACGCGACGTGCTCGGCCTGGGCGAGAGCTGGATGCACACGTGGCCTCCTGGCACTCCAGCGCCCCGGTCCTCGCGGTGGCCCTCCACACGTGCGTCCCGCGGGCGGCGTCCGCGCGCTTTGCCTGCGAGCCCCGCCGTGTAGGCGTCCAGCTTCTTGGTGCTGCTCGCCTCCTAACTTCCTTCGGGGGTGGACAGAACCCCCAACAGTGACACGTCGATTAGTGAATTGTCCGTTTTCGATTCTCAAGAGGGCGCCGTGGCCGTTATTTTCCAGGCTTGCGCCCGCCAGGTGTCGGCCTCAGGTCGTTTTCACTAAACCACGTTTTACTAAAGGGGGGTCTGTCCATCCCCGATTCCTGCTCCCTTCGGGGAAGCGTGAGACCCGAGTTTGCCGGAGCTGGGGTTCGCCGCCGCTTTTTTTGTCGGGCCCGGCTTGTTTCTTCACGGTCCAGTTTCCGTGTTAGGTTCGCAGGAGTTTGCAACGATGTTCAGATAGGGTCTCGTCGTGTTCTTTTGACGGCCCTCAGATTAGTGCAACCGACCCTTAATCCCATCCCCGTCCCCATCCAGAGCCCCACAACCTTCCCACACCAGTTGGGGATGTACCCCGCGAGGCCCGAAGGGAACGACCTGTCAGAGTGAGGGGGCCGAACGGTCATTCATTGTCCCTGGGTGCGTGGCTGAAGTGAAATTCCGCGGTGCGGATTCGTGTTGTTGTTGTTGTTGTTGTTGGTGTTGTTGTTGCTGTTGCTGTTGCTGTTGCTGTTGTTGTTGTTGTTGTTGTTGTTGTTGTTGTTGTTGTTGTTGGTGTTGGTGTTGTTGTTGTTGTTGAATATTATTACTTCTAGAGAAATATTATTGTTGAGACCCCTGGTGCGCGACCCCCCTCCAAAACCTAGGCCGCAGCCTCATTTCCTTCATTTTCTAGCGAAAGCTTCAGAAAAGTGGATTGTGTCCGGATCCGGTTGTTTTGTTGTAATCCGTTTTCCCTTGCAAAAAACACTATAACATGAAAATTATTGTTCTTACTTGATCAAATTGCAAGAATCCCTTGCAAAAAATAAGGTAAAGTGGACATTCGTGCGCGCAAGACGAAATCCTTCCAAAACCTTAGGTTTCGTAACGATTTTTACATAAAAACATCAAAAACCCAATGGTTTTTTAAGAAAAAATTGTCAAAATGTCCTTCCGCGCGCGCTGTCCGAATCCCACAAAAACAATGGTTTTTCAACATTTATGTTACATGAGCTCGCGCGAGCTACTTTTTCTTGTTCTAACATAATCAAATTTCAATAATCCCTTGCAAAAAATAAGGTAAAGTGGACATTCGCGCGAGCAAGACGAAATCCTTCCAGAAC